ACAGCACTTATGTCCCCATAATTTCCAACCCAGGGAACACACAACAGTCTCCTGCCTCCCATCCTCCTACACCTAGTCTAGAGGAGAGTCCTGCTTTCCAGGTTCCTCACAACGCCCCCAGGCCTAGGCTCACGCAGAGGTGATGGCTCTGTATCGCTCCAGGCCAGCTGTGTCCCAGATCTGTGCCTTGACAGCAGCGGTGCCCAGCATTACAGTGCGGGTGGAGAACTCAACCCCGATGGTGGTGCGGCTGTCGTGGCTGAACTCATTGCGGGTGAACCGGGACAGCAGATTGGTCTTGCCCACGCCTGACTCGCCGATCAGCACCACTGAGGGAGTGGAAAGAGGAGGGCTAAGCCAGGGCAGAGCAGCTCTGAGCCTACCTGAGCTGGACAGTCTATCCCATCAGAAAGAGGAACTGAGATCAGAAAAGCAAGAAGAGTTGTCTCTTCTAGCAGAGCCTGAGGTTGGCTACACTACATAGGATATTCGTCTGGGGCAGGGGAACAGAAGGGCCAGGAGTGTTCGAGGTGGAGTTTACTGAGGCAACAGGGTGACACAGTTAAGAGCAACAGCTGTGGTCTGCTGGCTGAGGACATGTGGAAAAGTTACTGAGACAGGGCATGTGAGAAAGGATAAAGGCACGGAAGTGCTGGAGTGCACATTTCTGTACTAGGGAGTATGGGAAGGTTGCAGGTGTCCGTATGTGCGTTGGAAGGATGAGGAAGAGGGGCTTGGGTGTGTTGTGTGTTCGAATGGAAGACTGAGGCTGAGGTTAGCCAGTGACACTTCTGTGGGTGAGGGGTAGGTGTTGGAGTGTGCTTTTGTGCATCCATGTGGATTACTGCCTCTCTTTGTGAGAAGCATCTCCATCCATCCATCCATCCATCCATCCACAGCCCAGTCCTCAGACCTGGGGCAAGGTTTTAATGCTAGGCAGGCATCTGTCCTGACTGGCTTTGTGGTCTTCTAATTTTGTTTTAAGATTGATCTATGCTGGGCAGTGGTGGTGCACGCCTTTAATCCCAGTACTTGGGAGGCAGAGGCAGGCGGGTGGATTTCTGAGTTCGAGGCCAGCCTGGTCTACAGAGTGAGTTCAGACAGGACAGCCAGAACTACACAGAGAAACCCTGTCTCGAAAAACAAAACAAACAAACAAAAAATTGATCTATTTTTTGTGTATGAGCGTTTTGCTTCTATGTATGTTTGTATACCACATGCATGCCTGCTGGAGTGTCAGATCACCTGGAACTGGACTTAAAGATGGTTGTGACCACCACACAGCCACCTCTCCAGCCCCTTTTGTGACTTCTTTTTGGGAAACTACTTAACTTTCTCCATCTTAGTTTCTTCCTCTCTAAAACGCCAGTGGCTAACATTTACAGAGCCCTTCTGTCACGTCAGCCACTACGCACGAAACTTCATGAAGCCTCATAGCAATGCCTGAGGTACATGCCTTTATTGTTCCTATTACTATTATGATTAATAGGGTTTCTCTGTGTAGCCATGGCTGTCCCGGAACTCAGTCTGTAGACCAGGCTGGCCTTGAACTCACAGAGATCTACCTGCTTCTGCCTCCTGAGTGCTGTGATTAAAGGCCTGTACTACCACTGCCCAGCCACTATTCCCATTCTTATAGCCAAGGAAGGCACCCACCTAGTAGGTCTATCACACTGTACTAAACAAAGATAGATGTGCTGCCCACCTCTACCTTCCAGGAAGGATCTGCCCCACCCCCTCATTGCAGGGAGGGAAGGCAATAGCAGTGACAGCTCACAGGTGAGCCCTCATGGACATGGGATGTCATGCCTCTCTGGATGGCTCCATGTGGTACCCCAGGGACAGTGTTCCAAGGCTACCCCAAAGCTCCCTATTCTCTAACTAGCTCTGAGATCTCATGGCAGGTGGCTATCCTCTGCCCAATCCTGTTTCCTCCTGCTTATCTTCATATGTGGTGGCCTATAATCATTACAGAATACCCCAGACTTCTCAGAAGTGGCACTGGAACCCCATCTGAGCTAACTGGTAAGTGGCAGGGAGGTCATGCAACCACTCACAGTGATAGCTCACACCAGGGATGTGAAGATGATTATGTGAGAATGGCACCTAGTAGGGCCTCAACAAATGGGAGTCAGTGTACTATGGCCACAGCCCCACCAGTTTCCTTGGGAAAATGCCAAGAGCACAAGCTCTCAACTTGGGCCAGGGTGGGGCTGAGGTTGAGAGAGGCTGTGGGTGTGGTGCAAAGGAAAGGAGAGTGCCACTAAGCCACCTAGCCTCAAGAAGGAGGTCCAGAGACTCAAAGAGGGAGCAAACACCAGGAGCTGAGGGAAAACGAGCAGGAAGGTCGCATCTGGGTCCATATACAGTGCAAGAGGCCATGGCACAGGCTGCAGGCCAGGAGTCTGTGGCATTCATTAGACTGCTCGAGATTCAATGCATTGTCCCAGTGTATGGACTTTCCTATGTATCAACTAGCTAGATGAATGACGACTACCCTCCTTTCCTATGCATCTGCTGGGAAAAATGACTTTCTTCCTCTTAAATAGGCTTGCTTCTCCCTCTACTCTGCAAGTCAAGTCCTTTCTGAAGTCTGTCTTCCATTTCTTGGGCTTCACTGACATTCCCATGTATTTGAGCATCTATTAGAGACTGAGCAGGGAAGCCTAATTTGGCAATAGGAAGGAATTATCAGCATCTTTACAGAGAGCATACAACTTCAGAACATCTGTATCTGTAACCAGACCTGCCTATACTCCTCATGGCCTGTCTCTCCTAGAAGGAATGCTGAGCTTGGAGATGGGTGGGGGGAGAATGTCCAAGGTAGAGATAAAGATAAAAAAGAGACCCTGTCTCCTCTGCAAATAGCCTCTCTCCCACCCTCTTGGGATTCTTTCTTTTTGAGATCCCCAACTCACCCTTAAAGACAAAATTATAATCTTCATCTGTTCGACTTCCCATCTTGACTCCGCATGGAGAGTGAAGGCGTTTGCAGGTGCAGAGGTCACAGCCTGTTAATTGGTTAAATGGCCTTAACTCTCAGCTCTTAAGAGACCGGCACCTGGCTCCTCTCTCATTGGGGTAAAGGACAAGAGGGCTGAGTTGAGGCCAGGAAGAGCCCCGGAGGCTCAGCTCTGGCACTTTAGGCTACTCTGTGGGAGCTGAGAGGACGGAAGCTGGGAACAGGAAGAGCTAGCCAGCTCCGCTGGGCACCTGGGGCACAGGTGGGCGGAGCGATGATGACGTCAGACAGGTTAAACAGGTTAGGTGTCTGCTCTTGGCCCACACTCCCCCAAAGAAGAAAGCCTGCTCAAAGAGGTAACAGTGGGTGAGGCTGCTGTGAGCCCCAGTGTGCATTGCTGGGTTTCTGGGGTCCTGAGAAGGGGAGCTGTCACTGGGCCGAGAGAAATAGACACGTGGTGGGGCAGAAATATACTGGCCTCCAGCTTTCCCATCTCAGGTTTTGGTAAGGACACATACCAGGGGCACCAAGGGAAGGGCTATTAGGGGAAGAAATGCAAGTTGGGCACAGCATCTCTCTACAATGCAGAGCTGTGGAGCTGTACCAGCATGCAGCTTCAGGCCCCTCCTTAACAGCTCCAGGCCAGGGAAGGGCAGCATGTCTCACTCAGGTGGAGCTGGGACACCACCTGCCCAGATGGGTCCATTCCTAACATACAATAAACAGATTTATTCTCTTCATGGATGGATCTCAGAGACAAGAGCAAGAGCTGGATGCAGTGAATATTGGTGCAGAATCTGAAGATGAAGATCTTGAGGCCTTCTGGGCTCAGTCTTCTGATGGCCACGCTTGTACTGTGGGACACACCTATCCACACACATCATGTATACACATACAATAAATAAGTAAAGGTAATGGAGACGAATCTGCCATACCCACACACAACTTTTTTAAAAAATTGAAACAAATGCTGCAGAGAGGGTCTGGTAGGCTCATGAAAACTTAGGAAAGAGAGTGGGAACACTCCTTAACTAGAAAAGGGTGAACTCTAGGGCTCTGGATTTTCTGTGTCCAATAAGAACAGGCCTTTGTTCTTTTAGATCAATCCCAGGTGCTGCAAAATGGGTGAGTGAGATTCTGCTCTGAGGGTTGGAAAGATGGCTCAGCAGTTAGGGGCACCCGCTGCTCTTGCAGAAGACCCAGGTTAGGTTGCAGCATACAGTGGTAGCTCACAACTGCCTGTTAACTCTGGTTTTAGGGAGATCTGATGTCTTTCACAGGCACTGGGCTTGCACAAGTGCACACACAGAAACAGTCAAAACACTTATGTACATTAAAAAAAAACTAAAAAAAATTTTAAGCTGGTATAGTGGCACACGCCTTTAATCCTGGCACCCAGGAAGCAGAGGCGGATGTCTGAGTATGAAGCTACCCTGGTCTATAGAGAAGAGTTCCAAGACAGCCAGGGCTACACAGAGAAACCCCATCTTAAAAAAACAGAATAAAAAAATTGCTTAAAGAAAAGCAATTCTGGGCCAGGCAGTGGTGGTGCACGCCTTTAATCCCAGCACTTGGGAGGCAGAGGCAGGTGGATTTCTGAGTTCAAGGCCAGCCTGAACTGGGTGAGTTCCAGGACAGCCAGGGCTATACGCAGAAACCCTGTCTCAAAAAACCAAAAAAAAAAAAAAAAAAAAAAAAAAAAAAAAAAAAAAAAAAAAAAAAAGAAAAAGAAAAGAAAAAGAAAAAATAGAAAGAAAGAAAAAAAAGAAAAGCAATTCTGAGAGGATGGGAGGGGAGCTTTTTGTGATGTAAAGTGAATTTATAAATTAATGAAAGAAAAAGAAAAGCAAGTATGAGTAAGGTGAGGCACAGCACTGGAGATGCCAGGGCACTGGGCAGCTCTGCCAAGAACCACTGGGAGATTTGGTGATGGGGAATGGGAGAGCCCACCTTTGCAGGAGATGAGGAATCCTCCTAAGTAAACCACCCTATTCCTTCCTCACTCCTAACTCCTTTCCTCCCAAGAAAGCAGCTGAGACACAGGCAAGAGTTGAAATTTATTCACAAAAAGTCAAACCCCCACCTTCCTGTGCCTGGCCCAGGAAGACATCTCCAGAGCCCCTCCCGACCCCCGTCCCTTTTCTACTCCAGCCTCCATCACACTGCTATGACGCTGCTACTTGGGTGAGGGGTTCTTCCAGGTACTGCACCAAGGCCTGGGCCTGCAAGGAAGCGAGAGCACAGGTCAGTCCATGCATGGCGTATGCTTAGATGGATCCCAAAACCACGTTGGCTTGCCACCCACACTTACCAACCAAGCACCCCCAGCCCACCCCCACTGCTCTTTAGCTCATCCCAGACACGGAGTGAGGAGCTTTGAGAACTCCAAAAAGGGGACATGTAAGGAACACAGTAAACAGGCACTGTGGCTGGACCAGTGCTGGGATGATACTACTGCGTGCTCTGTAAAGATTATCTCTGTATTATTCAAATGCCAATTTATGGGGCAGCAGAGTTGAGTGCAGACTGGACCTTGGTTCATTTGGCTACATAGTTTGTATATACTCTCTCTCACCTTCTGATCAGCTTATTAAAAAGATGATGGTCCAGGGCTACACAGAGAAACCCTGTCTCAAAAAACAAAAAACAAAAAAAAAAAGAAAGAAAGAAAAGAAAGAAGAAAAAAAGATGGTCTACAGCAAAGGCAGGAAGTAGAAGGTGGGACTTCCAGGAAAAGACAGGAATTCTGGGGAAGGAGTCGTAAGCAGGACAAGGATGAAGAAGAAGGTGCCAGGACATGACTAAGATGGACAGGTAATGGGTCATGTGGCAGGACATAGGCCAAGCCAGTATTGTTGGGTTAGAATAGTTGAGAATCTGCCCAGTTATAGTGCCCAAAGCTCATAATAAATCTAATTAAAGTCTCCATGTCCTTATTCAGAGCAAGGACAGGCATAGATAGATATAGTTACAGCCCAGGAAGTTTGTAACACAGGAATGTCCTCACCTTCGCCTTGAGCATTCCGAAGCCTACAGTCTCCTTGGCATACATACATAGCAGAAGGTTGGCCACCCGGGTAATGGCTACACGGCCCTCCTGGTGGGAATGACAAGATAACACTGCAGCATTCTGTTTGACATCCTTAGTTCCTGCCTTCCCCAGGGTTCCTATGGTCCTAAAGATATTGTCTCCCAAACCTGGCAGAGCAGGAAGTTCAGATAGGGAGCTTTGCCCAGCATTTAAGACGTGGGGTCTGAAACTGGATTCCAGCCTCAGCTGAGCCACGTCCTAACCAAGTTATCCTGGGAAACCAAGTCTTCCAGAAATTGGGGTTTTCTTTCTCTAATGCCAAGAACTGTCTCAACAGGTGAGGGACCACGAACGATAACCCAACTTCTTTGTTGCTCTTGCAGTAGACTTGAGTTTAATTCCCAACACCAACACTGTGCTCACAATCATCTGTAACACCAGTTTGGGGGATCCAATGCCTTCTTTCAGCCTCCTTGGGGGCGCCATCCATGCACATGGTGCTCACATATAACACCTGGGCAAATCGACTCATACATACAGAATCAAATAAATAAACCTTAAAAAGGTAACAACAAAACCACCCCACAACTCAACTTACATGTCTCCTCTTTTCCTATGGTGTAACTTTTCAAAATGGAGATTAATTAAGGTAGACCAACATTTGAAAATAAAAATAAAAATGACAGGGCACAGCTATTGAGAGAAGTGATGTTTTATGGAACTTGCTTTAGTGTACCAGGCTCTGACTCAAAAACAAAAACTGTTGGAATAGATTCTAGAATCCCATACATTCCAGGCAACTGCTGAGTTCCACCATCTCTCCCTTAAAATGCATTTCTTGTAGCTAGGCTGCAGGGAATATCTTTGAAGCTTCTGGCCAGTGGCACCACCCCTAGACTCAGCACCCAGTAGGAGTCAGCAATGGGTGGGAGGGGCATAAAGAATGGGCTGCCATAACAGTGAAGAGTTTTTCATGGAGCCTTCAGCCCTGGGAACAACTGATTTGGTTCTGCACACTATCACTCTTCAGTGGACTAGGAAACAGGCCTGTTTCTTTAGCCCTTTCTCCTAACAACCTTTCCCCATTCTGTGACTCTCCATCTTTACAGATCTTTGTCCACAAATCACTCTGCCCTACGCCCTTTGCAATTGCTGTTGTGAGAAATACTTGTAGAAGCTGGTCGGTGGTGGTGCACGCCTTTAGTCCCAGTACTCAGGAGGCAGAGGCTAGCAGATTTCTGAGTTCAAGGCCAGCCTGATTCTATAGAGTGAGTTCCAGGACAGCCAGGGCTGCAGAGAAGCCCTGTCTCGAAAAACAAAAAAGAAAAAAATAAATACTCAAAGAGATCCTGCCTCAGTCTCTCCTGTAGAGGACAAGAGGGATAAGCCACCATGGCAAGCACTGTTAGAAATATTCCAAAAGATCGCTGGATGGCTTATTCTCTTCCTCTTTCCAATCATCTTTCAGATCTTTTAACAAATGTCTCCTTTTCACTGAGATTGACCCTCACATAATCCTGCACCCTACTCCCACTTCCTTTTTTAATGTTTAATTTGGCAAGGTGCGATGGTGCACAAATGCAGTCTCAGTATTCAGGAGGCAGAAGCAGGATGATCATTGCAAGTTCCAGGTCAGCCTACTTTACTTCATACCATGCAGTCCATGAGGATAAATTTGAGACTGTCTTCATTAAATGCTTGGTTCCCGTTCCTATCGTACGCGGCCCAGATGTTACTGGCGATGGCCGCGGTGACCCGGGCATCAGTGTCCCCATAACCGGAGTAGGCCAGCAGCGATCCCTCATTATTCAGCAGCCTGGCAAGGATGGGAAGGATATTAACAAACTCAGGAAGAGTGAAAGGTCTGAGTTTCTATCCCAATTCCAGCTACTGGCGCTTTAAGAAAGCAAGAATCTGCGCTGGATATATCCAGGAAAACGCTAATGAACTGTCAATTTCCCTTTCTGAGGAGGTCCTCACGCAGGATTCCCGAAGCTGCAGCTTGCAACATTAGCCACCTCCCGGCATAGGTTCCTTCCCTACCCCTACCCTACGCAGACAGCCGCGCGCCGCCCCATTCCAGCGCTCGCTGCTTGGGTTCTTGTTCACTCACAGAGTGCTTTGGACTCCTCCAGTGTTGGCCTGGCTTAGCACCTGCGTCAAAGCCTTGGGACGCAGCATGCCTGCGTCTCTTAACCCTGCACCCACACAACCCTACAGTCGCAGCCTCTCGCTCTCCCTCAGTCGCTTCCGGTGGCCCGGGAGCCCAGCTACGAGGCGCCTGGGAGTTGTAGTCACCCGATCCATTTAGTGATGCTTTGGCCCAATTCCCGGCCCGCGCGGGGCCTCCGGGAATCGTAGTTTCTTGTGACCGCTCAAGGAATTCTGGGAATTGTAGTTCAGCTTTACAGTCTGACCATGTGGCTGTGGGGGCAAAAGAGCGGGAGCGCAAGGACAGTGGCAATGTTGGAAGGACTTTTAACTTCTTCCACGCGAAGGGCGCCTCCGTGCCTACTGACTGATCAATCGCGATCTAATAATAAATCTCTGTATCTGTTAGGTACATCCTTGACCATTTTTTAAAGTAATATTATACGCTAGTCACAATTCTGTGGGGTTCTGCTCTCTTGACACCCAAGGCTCAGAGAAGCCACGTAGGCAAACTCCAGGTGTCTGAAACCGTCCTTAATGGCCCCCTCGGGGCGGTTCCCTGGAGGCCACGACTGTTCGAATCTGCAGAGGTCTTAAGGACGTCCTGATCCAGGAATGAACCCAGGCCTGGCAGATCCCGCCTCTCAAGAAAACCAAGTTCCCAGGGAACGGAGATGAGACGGCAACAGCGAAAGTCCTTTGTCCGAACGGGAGGGAACCGCGGGCGGCCCTGAATCTCCCGCCCTCCGCGAGGGCCGCGCTGTCCGGCCCAGGACAGCTGCGCACCCTGCTCCGGCCTGGACCGCCCCAGCTGCAGTGCCCCCCCAGGCCGCCCGGGGCGCTGTGGTTGCGGCTGTCCGGAGGGGGCGGCGGAGCCTTGGGGAGGGACGGGAGGGGGAGTTAGAGGCTCCGGAGCCGAGCCGGGCCGGGCGGGCCGGGAGGAGGAGGAGGAGGAGCCGGGCGGGCTGGCGGGCGGCCGGACGGCGGCATGGCGGAGCCGAGTGGGTCTGAGACGAGGCCCCAGATTCGGGTCACCGTCAAGACCCCCAAGGACAAGGAGGAGATCGTGATCTGCGATCAAGCCTCGGTCAAGGAGGTAGTAGGGCTGGCGCGGAAGAGAGGAGGGCGGGAGCAGCGCACCGAGGGGTCAGCGCAGAGGGAGACCTCGGGGACGGCCTGGCGCCGGGGACGGGGCCCCGGCCGAGGCGGAACCCAGGGGCATCCAGGCGAGAGAGGCGGGTAGGGGGCGCCCTGCCTGGGCGAGTCCGGGGAGCGTGGCGCGGGTAGGGGCCGATGTGGCCGCGCTACCAGGGCTGGGGGCGTGGTGGGGGAGCTTGAGGAAGGGACACCTTGCTTGCGGGCTCCAGAAGGACCCTAGGCTTGAGGGGAGTGTGCGCCAGGGTTACGGGTGGGGGTTCCAGGCGCTGAGGCACAGTGCGGCCCGAGCGAGCTGCGGCTATGCTCCCCCGGGAGTGTCGCGTGGTGGTGGTGCTCTCTCTCTCTCCACAGATCCTCCTTGTCGCAAATCGAAACGGTTGTGTAGTACAATTTTCTGCTCTACAGGATTTACTGAGCGCAGTAGGTGCTCAACAAAATACTGTAAAATTAGTGAGGGACTATTGCCTGTGTTCCCCACTGCTTGAAGCAGCTCCAGAATTGCATATAGGCGGGGCTTAGGATAGGCCATCTGGTTGGAAGAGAGGGATCTTTTGCTTAGCAAGTGCACTGTTTATAGTTAGAGTATGTGTTGTGTTGTTTTTTGGAGGAGCTGATATAATCTAGAAAATTTAACTCGCCCCAGTGTAGCCTTTGGTACCACTGCTGCTCTCTCATGCAGTAATTTTAAGTCCCCCTGGGAAAAGCTGAATCATAAAACAGCTCTTACTAGTAGAGAATGTGTCTGATGAAGACACTGATGTCCAGATCTGCATTTCTATATCCCTGGGATGCACTACCTCCCTCTTCTCTGATCCTTATCTTTAAAACTCCCAGCCCTCGGGAGGCAGAAGCAGGTGAGTCTCTGTGAGTTCAAGGTCTACATAGAAAGTTCCAGGACACCAAGAGCTACATACAGAGACCCTGTCTCTAAATAAATGAATAAAATAGAGATGGTAACTAACACACTAGATTACTCAATAGATCTCAATAGTACTCTAGATTATTTGTTAAAGATATTTTTGTTTGTTTGTTTGTTTGTTTTTTCGAGACAGGGTTTCTCTGTGTAGCCCTGGCTGTCCTGGAACTCACTCTGTAGACCAGGCTGGCCTCGAACTCAGAAATCCGTCTGCCTCTGCCTCCCAAGTGCTGGGATTAAAGGGGTGCGCCACCACCACCCAGCTTAAATTATTTGTTATAGTTATGAGGAACCTGGGAATAAAGATCAGAGAGAAGGCTGACCTAGTCTGAGGCCAGTTGAAGGATTTAGGATGGGGAGGGCTGCCCATACCTCTGTGAGGTATTACCCTCACAGAGACCTGGCTAGTGGTACAGAAGCTGCTTTAGTAGATAGCAGCAGGGGCTTTCTAGGGTTGAGAGACTGTATCATGGAACTATCCATAAAAAGCAGACCCATTTCACTGTTGGTTCTTGTAGCTAGAGGGGCAGAACTGAGGGTAGAGTCCTGGCAGTGAAGTGCACGTAGCCTCCACAGCGATCTCTGCCTCTTGACCACAGTTCAAGGAGGAAATCTCCCGGAGGTTTAAGGCTCAGCAGGATCAGCTGGTCCTGATCTTCGCAGGCAAGATCCTCAAGGATGGAGACACACTGAACCAGCATGGGATCAAGGATGGGCTCACAGTTCATCTAGTCATCAAAACTCCTCAGAAGTAAGTCCAGGAATATAGCTGACCTTGCTCCTAATTGGAACTTCTCTTCGGGTCCTTTCTCACCTGTTCAACTGCCCAGACACTGTTGGCAAGCCTGGCACAGATGGATGAGGACTTACCTCTAGGGGAGCCTGACAATACTCCCAGATGGCCTTAGAGACTGTTGATACTGACACCATCCCTCTCTCCTGGATGGCCACCTCCCCTGCATCCTGCTAGCCTGGGGTAAAGGTTGGGCAAGGCTGCTCAGTGGCTTGAGCTGGCAGTCCAAGGCCACCTTGTCACTTGGGCTCACTCTAACCAGGTTTCTCTAATCTCTGTCCTCAGGGCTCAAGATCCAGTGACTGCTACTGCTTCCTCCCCATCCACTCCTGACTCTGCTTCTGCACCCTCCACCACACCTGCCTCACCTGCCGCCCCTGCCCAGCCCTGCAGCTCTGGCAATACCACTTCAGATGCTGGCAATGGAGGGGGGCCCTCTCCAGTGGCTGCAGAGGGGCCCTCAAGTGCTACTGCATCAATCCTCTGTAAGCCTTTAGGGAGGAGATCATAAGTTTGTATTGGCCAGGGGAGTGGGGTACACAAAGAAGAAGAATGGTCCCTAATTCATAGTGCTAGTCCTATGAGCGCAGTCACTCTTCCAGATGTTGGAGCTTAAGGCAAGCAGGGGTGGGGAATGGATGATCAGTTTATGATGGTTTCCAGGATTTCAGAGATGGAATCAAGTTCAGGAGCAAAAGGAGAGATGGGGTGGGGGGTCCTGGGTAAAGAGGGAGTAGAGAAAGGCAGGTGGTGGGTCTATTTCTCTCTGTTCAATGCTATGCTTAGCTTGGCCCCTGCCTTTATAGAGGTCTCCTTTCTGGAGTTGTGGGAGTGACTGAAGAGGGACGTGTGAGAAGCAGTTAGGGCCTATCCTGGAGACGCTGTTGGATCTCGGCAGGGCTTGAGAGGTGGACTCTGACCCTGCTTCCCCTACAGCTGGCTTTGGAGGCATCCTGGGCCTGGGCAGCCTGGGCCTGGGCTCTGCCAACTTCATGGAGCTCCAGCAGCAGATGCAGAGGCAGCTCATGTCCAATCCTGAGATGCTGTCTCAGATCATGGAGAACCCCCTGGTCCAGGATATGATGTCAAACCCTGATCTGATGCGCCACATGATCATGGCAAACCCCCAGATGCAACAGCTGATGGAGAGGAACCCCGAAATCAGCCACATGCTCAACAACCCGGAGCTCATGAGGCAGGTGGGTCTGAGAGGGCTGGGGGAGGAAGGACTCTGGCATCCGCTGTACTGTTTGCCCATTCTTTTTGTTCATTCGGTTGAGCAGGTGTGTTTTGAACACTTGATATAGATATGAATAGATATGGGCCAGGAATTCCTTGACCCTAAGGCAACTGGGACGGATGGGCAGGCAATGCCAGATGACTAGTGATGTCCTAGGAACATAGTAAGGGCTCTGACCCTACTCTGGGGCTTATAGAAGGTCTTCTAGAAGTGTCACTAAGCCAAGACCCAAAGTAAGACAGTGGATGAACCCAGAAAAGAAAAATAATGTTGCCGGGCAGTGGTGGCGCATGCCTTTAATCTCAGTACTTTGGAGGCAGAGACAGGCAGATTTCTGAGTTCGAGGCCGGCCTGGTCTACAGAGTGAGTTCCAGGACAGCCAGGGCTGCACAGAGAAACCCTGTCTCGAAAAACCAAAAAAAA